TAGAGAATCACCAAATTACACTACCAGCATGTGAACTGCCTCCTGGTTTTGGGAGTGGGATGGGGGGATTGTAATTTGAATGTTTTAAAGAGTTCCTCTGCTGGCTTGGTCTTGCTAGCATAAATCAGTTTTTATAAGAGGAAATTAGTTTTCTCCCAAGTTTTAACAGCTACTTCCTTCCATTGTCTAGGAAGTGATTTACTGAATTCTACAAATGTAACAACTGCCAGCAATAGGAAGATGACATTCACACTCTCACTCTCACTGCATAACAAAGATCTCTGATTTAATTTAGCAGTGATTAATTGTGATTAACTATTTCACTGACAGGATTGCAATAGTATAGAACAAACATAGTACACAAAACTTTCTGCATGTACAGAAGCTGCAGGATGTTGGATGGATGGTTGATTGGTTGGTTGGGTTTTTTTTTGGAGCTGGACTGTGGATCTTAAAAATAGTGACATGTTGGACTAAAGCTGGAGAAGAACACGAGTAGAACATACTTCTTTCTGCTTCAATGGGATTTTATCTTTGGCATTACAACAACAATCCTTCTATACCTTAATAATGAAATAAAACTATTTCCAATATTCTATTAATCTTTTGAGCCTCTTTACAAAAGTGTCATCAACATATGGTAACATTCATTTAGTCAAGTGTGTCTGGTTTGCAGTTAAAAAATGAGGGAAATGTAAAAAATTATGTTGCATTTCTGTGCTGAACTATTTAGGATCTTAATGGCTAAAATATCCAGACTGGCAATAAATTCATCCTTGACTTGGAAGTTTTCCTTAATTCTTATTAAAATCGGTGGACTTCATAAGCATGTTTTAACTGGACTAGAAAAGATAATGCATTAAATTCTTTTGAAAAGCCAACACCCTACATATATTTGGTACAGATGTTTAGAGTTTGAGGACATAAAAAAACTACAGAGAGGGATTACTTTTCTGCACTTCAAGCCTACAGTGGTGGTGATCACAGGGAGCATTCCTGTCTGTAATGAGATTTCCATTCTACCAGTGCAACTGAACCAAATAAAAGTTAATTTCTCAACTGGTCTAGTTGTGACAAAGTGGTTTTGTGTAAAAGAAAAATCCAAGTGAATAGGGTCTCTGCAGCCTCCTCTCCCCTCTCTGTAAATATATTCATGTCTTGCAACTCACAGGCTATTGCAGAATGAAGGAAATAACTTTTTGTGGCCATGTCATATGAAAATATTAACAACTCTAGCAACATATACCATACTTGAGGGAGTTAATCATTCATTTCCCCTCTAGTGTGCCTATCTTCCATCTGCCTTCAACTATTGTCCTGGTTTGGGACAAATTTGGGAGGAAACTTTTAAAGTGGTCTTTTCTAGAAACCAAATTCAAGCAGCTCCTCTCCCAACTGGTTTGGGGAAAAGATTTTTTTGGAGAAAAGTGGAAAAAACTGCCACGAGCATAAAAAAAGAATAATATTAAACAATAAAACCTCTCACTGTTCTGAAAAGATGGCAAATTCAGAAAGTCCTTGTCATGGGGTGTAGTTTGGCTCACTCAGTCTCTTATTAGTCCCTCCTGAGTTGGAAAATGCTGCATCCTGGGTCCCAATGGGCCACAGGCACAAACTCCTGGTGGTTTTTTGGGTTTTCAATCCAGAGCAGGGCCAATCAGTTCCAAGAAAAAGAAAAGCCACCATCTGAGGGACTTCTCTGCCTCAGCTAGTTAAAAACTAACTAAAAGCAAAGGAGAATGTTCTCCCGCTCCCTGTCCATGCTGAGGACAACACGCACTGAGAGAGAGCAAGGAATGCGCAGGAGCAAGTGCAGTTTATGAACACAAACTGCATGCTTCTTCTCTCCTCAGCTTCACTCTTGGAACCAGTCTTAATGGTGCAAACTTAAAATCCAGCATAAACAGAACAGACAATTGGGGATACAAGCACCATTAAGTCCCCCTAGGACAACTACCTTCTGTGCTGTCCATCTGAAGACAACTGTAATTTCAATCATGGAAACTTACAGATTTTCAAGCATTAAGTCTTTAACCTGAAGGACATGGTGAATTTGCAAATAAGGGGAAATGTTCAAAGACTCAGAATGGAAGCTCACTCACAGAAACTACTGAAGACACAATATATGATACATAGAGTAAGTTTCAATATCAATATATGATATATAGAGTAAGTTTAAAACCTCTTGCCTATCTCCCAGAGACAGAAAGACTATAAGGCAGACAGAAAAGCATCACTGAAAAGACTACTCTTCTCTGAGAAACCAAAACAAATACAAAATTGCCTTTAACAGCATCAGTTGCAGATACAGGAGACTTTGAATTATTTCTGGAAAGACTTGGATCCATCATGACTGACACACTCTATGGTGGAGATTTAATGAATCACAATGGTGTTCCTTATCTCTGCTTTCTTAAATATTTTTCCCAAGTATGATTGGAAAAAAGGTATCTGCAGACTAGAATGAAGCAAAGAACATGTTGCACGTGCTCCAGGTCTCCTACTTCTACACTACGGAATGCATCCCTCCTGTCCAAAATGCTCTTGCTCTGTCTCTGCAAATCCAGATGATCTCTGGGGGAGACGAGCTTTGCAGGGATCACAGAATCACAGAACGGGTAAGTTTGTAAGAGTCCACAGTGGGACACTTAGCTCTACCTCCCTGCTCACACAGGGTTCCCTACAGCATATTAATCGGGCATATGTCCTGATGGCTTTTGAATATCTCCAGGGAAGGAGTCTCCACAACCTCTCTGGACAACATATTCCAGTGCTCAAAAGAAGTTCTTTTCCATGTTGAGGTGAAACTTCCTGTGTTCCAATTTCTGCCCATTTCTTCTCATCCTGCTGCTCATCACCAAGAAGAGCCTTGGTCCTACCCCTTGATGTCCTCCCTTCAAATACTTCAGATGTTGATAAAATCCCTTTTCAGTCTGCTCTCCTCCAGGCTAAACAGTCCCAGCTCCCTCAGGCTCTCCTCATGAATGAGGTGCTGCAGTACCCTCCTCATCTTCATTGCCTTCCTCTGGACTTGCTCCAGGAACTCCATGTCTCCCTTGTACTGAGGAGCTCAGGACAGGTCACAGCACTCCAGATGCAGACTCACCAGGGCTGAGTAGAGTAGCAGGATCACTTCTTATGACCTTCTGGCCACATTCCCTAATGCACCCCCAAGATATCAGTGGCTCTCTGCCACAAGGACACGCTTTGGCAGCCTATTGCACACCATTACCCACTTCTCCAGAGCTGCTTCAGAGCAAGTCAGCCCCCAGCCGGTACTGGTACATGCAGTTCTTTTTCCCCAGGTGCAGGACCCTCCTTTTGCCTTTGATGAATTTCAGAAGGTTCTTCTCTGAACAAGTCTCCAACTTGTTGAAATTCTTCTAATGGCAGTACAACATTCTGTGGTATTGGCCACTTCTGAATCCAATACTTACGCCTGAGGGACACCACAGCCCTCCAGCTAGCTAGACTCTGTATCACTAATCAGAACGCTCTGAGACCTGCCATAAAGCCTGATCTCAATCTACCTCACCATCTGCTCATCCAGCTCACACTTCTGAGCTTGCCTATCAGAATGTCATGGCAGACAGTGTCAAAAGCCTGACTGAAGCCCAAGAAGACCACATTCATTGTTCTCCCTTCATTTATCCAACCAGTTATCCCATTGCAGAAGGCAATCATCTCCAATTTGGCTTCTTCCATAGCTATGACATGACAGTAAACCATTAAAGTTCATAAAATATAAATCTGTTAGATGTTAAAAAACCGTAACTAATTACCCAATGTTCTGATATGAAAAGTCAGAAAGTCCAACAGTCCTTTAGTGAACTGCAATAAATTGTGCTTCAGAGTGTCATGAATAGTACATCACAAAGTGGAAGATCAATTATTATGTACGTAAGAGTTGAACACATGCATCATACCAGTCTAAACAAAGAGGAACCAAACATTTATGGCACTAGCCCACACACACTAAAATAGCTTGCTTCCCTGGCATAAAGATGTCCCTGCATTAATAAGAAGGCTAGAATTTAAGCTTCTATCAGACAAGCCAAGTGAACTGGAAATCCTTCATGCATTTATTTATCACATATTGCACCCAGCTGTATTGCAGAAAGATTCTTGTTTTACATATGAAGAACTGAAGCAGAGATATTTAAGTCCAGATCACATAAGCTATTTAGCAACCTAATCTGCGTGCAACATAACTGAGTCTATGCCTAAATTATTTTAACTGGGTCATTCATGATGCTTGCTCTGGAAACAGTATTTTTTCCATAGCATACAGTGTTGAAATAATTTCAGTCTTACATTTAGTCATGGCAATCTGCCCATTTGAGAATTGTCATTTATGAAAAACCCTCTCACAAGGGTTAACTGTGGTCCATTACTTGTTCCCAGCTTTTTCTTAGGAATGCAGAGTAATACGTTTTTCCACAGCTCTTTAGCACCCTCTGTTTTCTTTTTCTAATCAAAATGTTGTTCTTTTTTAATTGCAGTGACATTGAAAAAATCAGACTATATGTAAAGGCTTTTTCAAATACAGCATAAAAATAAGGATCAGTAATGCAGTGTGTAACCAAAAAGCAAGAAAAAGAAGAGAAGGTTGTAAGTTTCCATACCAGACCAAAAAAGGGTTAAGAGGAAGAAACCAAAAACATGAAGGGACACCAAGGGACACAAAAGTGATGCGAGTACTTTAGGAGGCATCTGTGTGAGAGTGTTAAGAGGTGTTTATTTTATGGTTATCTGATTGATCACATCCTATACTGGATGAGAAAAAGAAAACAAATGAGGTAAACACAAATATAAACCCTGATTGATTAGCATTAACAAAGACAGAAACCAGAAAAAAAAGAACTGAAAATATCTGTTTGCATTACTTGTCAGTTGGGCTATCAAGAAACAGCAGGCTATGTTGGTTTTGGCTGTGATAGAATTTGTTTTCTTCATAGTAGCTCATATGGTTATGTTCTGGATTTATGACCAAAACAGTGTTGATAACACAGCGATGTTTTTATTATTGCTGAACAGCATATATATAGCATCAAGGCATTACTCCCATACTGCCCCACTAGCAAATATGCTGGGAGTGCACAAGAAATTGGTAGGGACACAGCTGGGACAGCTGACCTCAACTGACCAGAGCGATATCTGTATCATACAGCATCGCGTTCATCTCAGGGAAAAGGAGGAGGAAGAAAAGGGCATTTAGAGTTATAGTCTGTGTTCCCAAGTGTTATGCATGATGGAGCCCTGCTTTCCTGGGAATGGTTAAACACCTATGCTCATGAGAAGCAGTGAATGAATTCCATATTTTGCTTTGCCTATTAAGCTGTCCTTATCTCAACCCATGATTTTTTTCACTTTTATCCTTCCAATTCTCTCCCCCATCCCACTAGGTGTGAGTTAGTGAGTGGCTGCTTACCAAGGTCAACTCACAACATAGGCAAAATGGGATTTTGCAAATAGTAAAGATGCAAACCGTAGCATGGTGGAAATATGACAACTAATGAGGCAATGTGCAGGGCAGGGAAGAGCAGGGAGCAACAAAGAGGGAATGGGTAGAAAGGTCTATAAACAGTCAGTCAACACACTCATCACTGCAAGTCTATTCTACCTTCTCATTGCCACTGCCTCTCCTTAGCCTTCTCTTGAGCATTTGCATTTCCATGGACAAAAGATTCATTGCTCCCTTAATGTCAATGCCCCTTGAAAACAACCCAAACCATCAAAACCCAGCACTTCTGACCATGACAAGCTACTTTCTGGAAGAAACTCCCAGTCTCATTTGGCAGCACAGACTCAATCACTAAAACAATCAAAAGCTGTACGGAACATGCCAGGGTAACAAATAAATCACACATGGAATAAGGAGGAAAAGACCTCAGAAAATAACCAGGAGGTAGAAGCAAGGGCAGTACTCCTATGAGTGAAATTCAGTCATCCTCTTGGCTGCTTGGCATGAGAGCCTACACACAATCTTACCATGTCTGACACCATGACGACAAAGGTTGTACAATGTTTTCTAGCTGGAAAGGGAAAAAATGTGATCCACAGATAACTGGCTCTTTATTTCACACCAACTGCTGTGCTTACACATGTCCTCATATGATATTCATTCTGTACATAGTGATTTTCACTGCCCACATTAACAAAGTAATCCAGACTGTTTTGCTCATGCTCCCAGGCCAAGAGTTAAACAAAGAGTAAGCATGAACAGATCTACTGAGATATGTTGGAGCAAGTGCAATCAAAAGACTCCTACTGGAACAGAATTCAATTCCATACCACTTCAGGAGGGCTCTGCATACTTGTCCAGGCAAATACCAGTCAGGCAGCCCTCCAGAAGGTTCTCCTGTTTCATGGAGGGAAGATAAGATTGCTCAGAGATCCCTTAACTTGGATTGCATTGCTCAATACTGAATACACACAGCAGCAGCTCCAGAGGTGAATTCTACCTTTTTTTAGTTTTTTGAGAAGACTGAAGTATTTAATTCAGTGTGCTTTTGGGATGTTTTGAGCTGTGGCTAAGACAAATTTCAGTTTTGTTCCTCCTAAGAGTAAGATATACCAATGCTCCCCAGCATTGTGTCTTTCATAGCATGTAACTATTCACAAACATGGCTGGCTGGATGAGGAGGTATTTTGAACACTTTCATAAATATTGAAATAATGTCCATCTGATGGATGCGTCTAACAGTGTCTCACATCAAAACACTCCAGCAGCTCAGGAAAGATTTCAGACTTCATGAAAGAGGCCTCGGATTGGAAAATGACCAAGATTCCAAAACACTCAGGCAATTGCTGGAATAAAATACTGAAGTGAAACCTCCTCATGGAGCAAGATGAAATGGACAATTCTCTTACGTACAATATCTGTGGGGAAAAAAAAAATTAAAACACCAATTCACCTCAAAGCAGGAAAAATACTTTAAAATTACATCTTTTAAAGATGTCACCATAAAAACAATGCTTCCACCACTTCTGACAGAAGGGTAACTAGACAATTTAAATCCTTGAAGGTCTGTGAAGCATTAATAGTTTATGAAAGATGGCACCAAGAAGTAAATATATAGTGTATAGGTTTATAATGCTACACCAATTATTTAAATCTTCCTTGGGAAATTTTCGGTATCTGCACTAAACCATAAGAAACAGATGTTCTCAGGAAAAGCACAGTTATAAAAATAAGATATAAACCCCTGCAGAGACTTCTGCTAGAAAGGAAGTATTGTTTTCTATGGCTAGAAACACTAGCTGTATAAAAAGCATTTTAGTATTCGAATCAGTGTAAGAAAACATCCAAAGGGAAAAAAACCCAACCAAAAAAACTTGCCAGTAAATTCCAATTTCTCTGCTAGAAGCTAGAGGCTTTAAGACTTTCAAAAAATAATATCTCAAAATAATAATAAACATTAATAACAACTTTAAAACAAAGACAACACACACAATTAGTGAATCTGAGTATTCAGCTTGAGACTTTTAAAACAGCCTGACTTATTTTTTCTTTCCCAAATGCCTAGGACCTGAATCTAACTGACTAAAAATATAAATATTAGAAGTCCTTGGGTATAGTAAAAATAGTTGACTTTCAGACACACAAAACAGAAGATATGATATTCTGCTGAAACTATGTATGGCAAACGGCCCTACTTAACTGGAGTTCACAAGGAGAGCTGTTGAACTTACTGCACAATGCTTTTGTAGGATTGACCTGTTGTCCAGCAAGCAGCTGCTGCAGCTTCTTGATGTCTATGCATGCTTCAGCCATACTTTCCAGATCTCTGCCTTGAGCAGAACTTTGACATCCATCCTCTGATGCTAAAAGAGTAAGAACACAACACTTAGTCCAAACATAAAAAGCAGTTTCAACACCCACAGGGACATACCTGAAAACTGCTGAAGTGCTGGAACTCAACTGGCTTGTTTTTTCAGACCAGTGCAAGGAAAAAAAATCCCAGTTTTCCTATCAAGCTGTCAAGAATAATGGAAGAGATTCCCCACCACCACCCCAAACATGAAACAGACACTCCACTGGCCACTCCACTTTTTCTTTTAAGACTTCATTTGAAGACTTCAAAGTATTTGATGTTATTTTCTAAATAATAAAAGCTAAAAAGTACTGCTATAGGCAACACACTTAAGTAATGAGATCAGACAGACACAAGAAGTAACAGGGAAACTTACCCCAGGGAGGATTTCCCAGGTCTTTAAAATGTGTTGTTACAGATACTAAGTCAGTTTCTGTTTTCAAGTTCATTTCACCACTCAAGTTTGCTTCAATCACCTGCAATGAATCTCAATTTTAGACAACCCACTTTCACATTGCAGAATTACAGAAGAATACAGTTTGGTTTTGTTCAAATACAAGCTTCCAGGAGTATTTCAGTATAAGTCAATCATACTTTCTGAAAATGGTTGAACATTTGAATGTTCAGCTATAAAATGCATTTCCCATCATTCCCGTATGAAGTACTCTGGACCACACTTTCAGAAGTTATGAGAAGAAATTTAACGTTCTCCAGTACTTTTAGAACAAGTATTAGCTTTGCTAAGTTCATGAGGAAAAGACTTCAGAAATAAGAGACTGAAGCTGAAGAAATGCAAAGATTCCTGAATTTCCATTCAGTTATTCAACAAATAGAAAGGCACCTACACAGTCTATATGACACACACAGAAAACGGGATGCACCAGGAGCTGACAGTGCTGCTTTCAAGAATTTAAACTAGACAACAGCTGGATCAGATCAGTAACTTCAAGAAGGACTTTGAACTGACAGAAATCCTGTAAAAGTGCTAAAAGCTTTCAAATTCCATTCTGTAAACTGGAAGAAGGAATTTGAAGGAGACTATGTATGGTCTTACACAAATCCCAAGTAGATCAGAGGATTCCTAAAGCACAACAGGCACTTTGTTTCTGTGATTAGATGAATTTTCAGTAATTAAAAAAAAAAAAGACTTGTACTGCAAGCAGAATCTTGTATAGAATGGCTCCAGACAATGGACAATCAGAATTTTTTTTAAGTAAATTTTTCAGCAATGATCTTGACCAGTTTTATTACCAGGATGCATCTTACAAAAATAATTAATTGTGACACATGATGTTTTTGTTTTCCAACAACATGAAAGCAAGACACTTAGTATAAGTTCAATCCCGTCATACAACTATCCTCTGTGAGGAAAGAGCCTCAGCTCCAGAAACAAAAGCACTGCGCTCAATTTTGCATAAGCATATCCACCAAGGACATGGGAGAAGGAAAGAAAATAAAAACAAAGTCCCACAAAAGTTTGATGTGTATTTGCAGGATGGCTGCCATTTGCAAAACTGCCAGTAACCCAGGGTAATCTCTCAACTCTTCCAATTCTTGAAAAACTGAGACTGCTCCAATTTCAGGATTCTCAGTTAACAGAAAATTTCCTATTTATCAAAACTGGTATGAACAGCATCAAACTGAAACTATTTCAAAGCTCTACACTTACTTTCTAACTTTCATGTCAGTCAATTATGGTGACTGTGAGCACAAACAACTAAATAAAAAACCAAAGCCCTTTTCTGTCCAACCACAGAGGGCTTCTTTCAGTTAAAAGGCCCACCAGCACTCTAGAAATCCAGGGTAGACTGCAAATCCAACATGTCAGTCTAAAGCACGGTATGACATCCAGGGGCTATTAGCAGCATTTCCTTTAAATCCTACGTCAAGTTTACCTAAAGTTCATTCACAGACACCTAACACAACACTCACTTAATTGGCATTTCCTTAATGAAATAGCCTGGAAAGTCTACAGCTAGCTTCCTGAAGGACTGTCATGCCTTACCAGCTAAAAAGAGTAGCTTGTAGCAACACAATGCCATGTTCTTTCATGGATTTAGTACAAAGGGCATCATTTTCTGAGAAGCCCAGCAAAAGCTCTTCAGTGTAAATCCTAAAATAAATCCAATCATTCTATTCAGGCTTTACACAGGCTTCAGGTGCCTTGATTTCAATGTCTAAGTCATCTCAAGATAATGTAGCAGCACCAGTTTAGGCAACCTGTTATGTCCCTTGTGAAATAACATCTGTAGCATACATGCTTTAAGTGCCTTAACTTACAATGAAATTGCTGAGATTCTTCATTCTTTCCACAACACTCTTCATTGTTTTCAGCACTGGTAGGTAAATACTGACCTAGGAATACATAAAAACTGCATTTGCACAAGTATTTCAGATGTGATTGGGACACATTTATTTCTACTTTCAATTCCATCATAGTTTGGACAGTGTTATCAGAGCTTTCAGGGTGCACAGTATCTATCTGAAATCAAATGTCTCAGGAACATAAGAACCCTTTCCCATTACACCAACAGGCCATCATTCTAGCAATTGTTCCAGACACAACATTCCAAGTCTGTGTTCAAAATAGAGCCATGTTTTTGCAGATCAGATTCTCAAATGAGCATCTGTGTTACTAAATAGTCAATTACTATAGACAAAAATAAAAGAAAGACATTCCTATGATACTGCAGCAGTGTAAATCTGAAATAAAAGAACAAAATACTGAAAGTTTCTTTTTGTACGTCTTCAGAATCTAAACGCTTTTAGCTATAGAGGTGACAGACATCCATAACCTCAAACAGGAGCACACTTGTACAAGGACCTTTCCTTAAAACTCTGCTAAAAAGTCAAAATCAGGAGGAATACACATATATCTTTAACTCTGCCAGATAGGCCATAAATTTCAGAAATAACAGATTATTTGGGCCATTTGGCACCTGAACAGCTGAAACACCCTGAAGTTGTGTGGTTTAGAGATGCTCCAGACTAAAGCCATGCAAGTCCTTCTTTCCTCCCTTCCTCTGCCATGAACCTCACAGAAGCAATTGGCAATCACCACTCTGTTTCAATAAGTTCTTGGCTCTCTTGTCAGGATAGAAGCCATGTTCCATACCCCTCCAAAACTGTAGCCTCCAGTCTTTCTTCTTTCCTTTCAACTCCTTTCCCAACCCCACCCTAGTATACTCTATAGCAATACCATTCAACTGGCAACCTCCCCTTTCAGAAGGGAATATAAAAGCAGAGGCTTACATCAAAGTCTGGCACACTGGGCTCTCTGAAGTCATTCCACATTCTTCTGGGAATAACTCCCACAGGAATGTCATGTGTCACAATCCTGCTGCTGCTTGATAAGGATGGCTTGAGGGAAAAAGAGGATGCCTTTGCAGTTAAACACAAGATTGGAATTCTAAATTTACATTTTTCAGACCCACTCTGGGAAATGCTATAACTACGTGCCCAACACTCAGTTCCAGTTTTCCCTCAGTTCCTACCAATATGCTTTTAAGTGCGCTTCCCTTTCAAATGAGGAAGAGTTTGTGATGTATCAGTCATTAGTATACCTATAATCTATCCTTAGAACTGAAAAGGTGAATCAGTGGAGTTAACAGCAACAAAAGAATCAGAAGTCAGCAATATCAGGAAAACCAAAGGCAAAACACAAACACTGAAACCTCCTTCACCTAATGGCTTCAATGAAAAGGCAATAATAGGCAGAAGATACAGAGGATGAAGAAATGGAGAAAAGTAGACATTAGAAAAACTTGTTTCAATAACATAGCTTTCTTCCTCCACCTCCTCCTTGCCTTTTGGAAAATACAAAGCTGGTTCTGTATGCTATCACCCATGATGGCAAGAAAGGCTAGTGAAATGGAAAATGGCACAATGTTTCTTTAGTTTTCTAGAATTATACCATATATTACCCTTTGATCTTAGGAAACACACTACATTTTAGAAAACTTTTTCTTAATAATGAATGTGAAAGCATGGTTCCACTTACTAGCTCCACAGCAACTCTGAGACAGGGACAGTGTTTATTAGTCAACTTGATCTTCACTGCCTTAGCACTCTGGGCAGTTTTTAATGCTCTCCACAGGTTCTCAGGCACAAACTCTAAATAGATTTCATTGTGCTCTGCAGCTACTCCTTCCATCTGAAATTCATCAAAGAAATTCCCCTACAATTTTTGAAAGTCAGGAAATAAAAGAAACAAGAGAGGCAAGTTTTATTTATCAGACCTTAAGCTTAGAACTGCATTTGTACACCAGAAATTCCCCTCTGCCTCAAATCACCTGAGGAATTACAACCCTGAAAACTCATTGCTTCAGGCAACTATTTAATGTAGTCCCCCAACACCTAATCAGTCCATTAGACAGCGAGTTATGCGTTCCTGTTTCCAGTTTTGGGCAGGCCCATGTGGGCCAGCACACTGAAGCTTTACACTGAAGTGACAATCAAGGAAAAGGGAGTATCCAACCTGAAACCCCTGTGCAGCCAGACAGACCTTGAGAGACCTGACACATCGAAGGTGGGGGCTACAAGAAATGCCTCGTACACCAAACCAAACTGCATGCTCTGGTTTTCAAAATGTGGTTACTGAACTATCCTGGGCTCACCTGGCTCAGCTCACACCACATACTGGCGCCTCCATTTGCTACTTTATCGGAAAGGATGAAATACAGCTTGCAGACGGTAAGGCGCAGGATGCAGGTCTTGGCTAACTTGGCGACTGTGTTAATTATACCTGCCGGAGGGAAGGAGGGAGGGAGGGAGAGAGGAGGACGTTACAGCGGTGATCACTCCATGCAGCCCAGTCTCTGCGGGACAGAAAAACCCTCAGCCTTTACAAACGCAGCTCGTGCTGCTTCGCAAACTCCTAAGCACCTCAGGGGGAAGGAAAGGGCCTCATGCCAGCTCCTCCCAGGAAAGCATTATGGTCCTCACCTCCCTTCCTCTTTTCTTTGCCCGAGAAAGCCGGCCCCAGCCGCTCAGAGAGGCACTGCCACCCTTGAGCCAGCCCCGACATACTCACGGCTGAAGTGATTAAGGCAGGCGAGATCCACAATCTTAGCCCGAAATCGCATGGCGGAGCCAGCCCTCCCAGCCCCTTGCCCGCTGCCACGGAAGGCGGTCAGGGAGGGAGGGGCCTCACACCCAGCAGCTCTGCGCCGACCCCGGATGCGCGGCGGGGTTGGGTGGAGTCTGGCAGAGACGTACTGGGCTTCCTTCCGCTTCGGTGGCGGTCGTCGCAATCCGGGCTGAAAAGCTTAGCTTGAAAATGCTTTGGCATCCCTGGAACATACGTGAAAATTCGTCTGTATGGGTCGCAGTCCCGATGTCTCGAGAAATTTCTTTTTCAAATCCAAGGGGGCCCTTGCAGGAGACACCATCAGCCCCTGGCAGGGGCCAAGCTCCGACGCTGCCCCACAGGACGCGGTGGTGGGAAAGGAAGCAACAGTCGTGTTACAAGGTGGTGCGAACAGCTTCGTGAGGGGCCTTTCCACTGCCCCATTGTTACCAGGTCACCCAGAAAGGGCTGGGCAACCGAAAGTGTTTTGAGAAAGATATTCTCTGTCAGACTGGGCACCTCATGTAGCCAGGCTCTCAGCTTAATGCATGGTGCACAGGAGTTTATGCAAAGGTTGGAATAGGTCAAGAAAATAGAAAGTGAAGGAAAACTTTGTTTTACCTAGTCAATGTGCAGCATGCCTGTTTCCTATAGACGGTGTCCTTTACCTTAATGGTTTTGATTCCTTGCAGTCCTTCAAAACTACAGCATTTGCAGAGACAAATCCTGACGGACCAAAAAAGAACAACACTAGTTTTCTAGTGTTGTTCTTTTTTGGTCTGTCAGGACTGTCTGGTGTTCTTTTGTCACATTGCAAGTTCCCCAGATCAGCTAAATTGCCTCGCTAACATTTAATTTTGAAATATTCTGGGGATACTGCTCACGTGCCTTGATGCTCTCTTTCAATTGTCATTATGAAGAAAATGAAAAGAAATAACCCTGGGTCTGCCTAGTGACAGATACAGAAATAGTTTCTGGAGAGGTTATTCTCTGCTTGTATTGCTCTTAGGTCTCATAAATTTTGAAGAAATAACCTGAAGATTTTCCTAGAGAAACCAGTGCAGTAGGGTGTCACAAATTCTCATCTAGGATCCTGCCAACTGTGCCAGTTGTCACAAATGTGTGGTTTAGGGTCACTCAGAGAATCATCATGCAAGGTATTAGCAAAAGTGGGGTTAATATATATTTATAAAAGTGTGACATAAAGTTCAATGAGAAGATTTGCTCCATCATGGATGAAACATAAAAAGAAAAATCTAATTAGAATAATTTTAGAATTATTTACAGAGAAAAAGAGTAAGGAAGACTCTCTTGTTGAATCACAAATTCAGAGTATATCCTCTTGCTTTCTAAACTCCTCATAGAGCTTAGGTGCAGCTTGGTCCAGTCTTAGTTCAGACTTGGACAGTAGTTTATACCTAACAGAATTATCTCCAACTTTTTCATTAAATACTGGTCCATTAGCCTTTTGTTTTGTGAAACATGGCTGCAGAAGATAAAGCCCTGATGGTGTGAAATCTCACACATTAAACTTTGCAGTTTGACATAATTGCAGACTGCTTTTAGTGAAATGATTGCTACATGAAGGTTAAGCAGGAATTTGTGGAAGGAAGGTTGATCTAATCCGTTTCAAGTTGTGGCATTTCTGACACATGTGCATTGCATAAGGTTTAAGAGATCCACATCATTTGGCTTTTCTGCCTTTGACTGGTTTGGCCCTGGCCAAACACCAGGCACCCACAAAAGTCCCTCACTGACCCTCCCCTGCCACAGCTAGGCAGAGGAGAGAAAAAACTAACAAAATGCTCATGAGTTGAGGTAAGGACTGGGAGAAGACACTCCAAGGGCAAAACAGGCTCGACTTGGAGATACAAAGTAGATTTATTACTAATAAAATCAGAGAAGGACAATGAGAAGTACAATAAGTTCTTAAAAACATCTTCCCTCTTTCCTTCTCACCGACAGTGCAGGAGACAGGGAATGGGGGGGTTTGATCAGTTCTCACCTGAGATCTGCTGCTCAGGGACAGGGGTCCTTCCCCTGTGAGACTGTGGAGTCACTCCCATGGGAGACAGTTCTTCATGTCTTCATGAACTTCTCGAGCATGGGTTCACTCTCAAGAGTAGCAGTCCTCCTAAAACTGCTGTGGCATGGGTCACTCTTCCATGGGGTGTAGTCCTCCAAGGACAGGCTGCTCCAGCCTGGAAACAAGGGCCCCCTCTCCCCACTGGCTCTTCCACTGGATCACAGCATTCTTCAGGCATCCACCTGCCCTGGCATGGGCATCTCCCCCATAGACTGCAAATGGATCTCTGCACCCCCTGTGGATCTGCATGGCCTGCAGAGGAATCTCAGCTCCAGTGCCTGGAGCACCTTGTTCCCCTCTTTCTTCACTGACTTTAGTGTCTCTATGTTGTATCCTTCACATGTTCTCCCCTCCTCCTCTTCTCTAGCTGGAATTCAAACTGTGCCATCATTTTGTTTTGGTTTTCTTTTTAAATATGTTACCACAGAGGCATTACCATAATTTCTGATTGGCCCAGCCTTGGCCAGTGGCACGTCTGTCTTCAGAACCATCAGAGATTGGCTGTGCTGGACATTGTGGAAGCTTCTAGCAGCTTTTCACAGAAGCTGTGGCCTCCTCGCTACCAAAACCCAGGCCGTGCAAAACCAACCCAGCTGGACAAAAGTTTGTTCTCTAGCTTGTTTTCTAGATATGGTCTGTTGTTAACAATGCTTTATAACCTCTCAAGATTAAGCCACAATGAGAAGATAGACTTTATGTATACAAAAAATTTCCATTGCTTGCCCTAAATAATAAAGAATGGGGAATTAATAACCAAGATGGGCATCAGAAGTAAATTACTATATGCCACATATACACCCAGAAGTCTGCAAAAAAAAAAGCTTTATATTGCTCTTGCTCTCATCACAGTTGACTGACAGGCTCTACTTCAGGGGTTCAGGCCAGGCAGGAGCCGTTTATTACTATGGCTGTAGGAGAGAAGGCAGATTAACAGAAGTTCAATTCTCTAGCCATACTGGCTTAATACGGAAGTGCTAGGGTATATCACATTGACAGCAGATACAGACAACTTTGTGAAGGAACCTTGAAATGGCAGAGCAGCACTGACAGAGTAGGAAACTGTCACAGCAGTTGTACCCCTCTTCTCCTAATAACTCAGAACCTCTGTGCTTTCTGTGGATCTTCTCAGCCTGTATCCTGATTTAGGGCAAATTTGGGAGAAAACCTCCAAAAGGGGTCCCTCCAGATAGCAAACCCATACGGCCCCTCTTCCCAACTGGTTTGGGAAGGATTTCCTCAGAGAGAAGTGGAAGAAAACCTGTTTATTTAACAAGCCAAGCACTCCCCAGCACATAAATTGAACAATACTGGATGAAAAAACTCATTCACTGCTCTGAGGAGATGACAAATTCAGAAAATCTTTCCAGTGAGTGGTCACTCAGTTATCAGTTCCCCCAGTACTGGGAAAGGCTGTGGCCCGGAGTAGACCTCGGCAGGCTACAAAGTGCAAGCTCTCGGTGTTTCTCTGGGTCCCAGTCTGGAACAGGTTTAAAAGGTTCCAAGAAAAGGGAAAGCAAACAGTCCAGGGAAAGTTCAGACTGCCTCAGCTAGCTAAACTAACTAAAAAGTAAAAGGAGCGTGGTGTTCTGCCCTGTCCATGCCCAGACAACAACAGTGTGCTCTCTGTTCCAGCAGACTGTGGAGGAGACCCCAGTCCCTGATAAAAAACTGTGCTTTTCTCCCCCCCTTTGCTCTCAGCCAGTCTAGAAGGCACAGAATATAATATCCAGCATAAACAGAACACCTGACTGGGGATGCAGGCATCATAACATCACCCTAGGACAGCCTGTCATCCTCTTGCTTGTCACACTGCTATATCTGTTGTCAACTTTTGGCCTAGTGAGTCCTGCTGCCACACAATTGCTTGTTGTGATCAAAGCCAATTTCTTCCGCAGCGTTTGCTTGGTTGATGTATTTTTTCCAATTTTTCTATTAGTTATTTACATAATAAATGGATTATACATGCATTTGAAACCATAAGTTCTATGTTTTTAAGCCCATCTAAATAACTTCAAAGTATAAATAAGGCATTCACACTGCTTAGGTTGCTTAATGGAGACACAAAGTAAAATAAAAATCTGATAATGTCAACTCTGAGAACCAGAGGGACACTGAACATATCACCAGAAAATGAATAGGTACTAGAAAGGGCTCTTTCTCTGTAAAACAGTTTTAACTGTACTATTAAGTACTTTCCACATTAATTTGATCTATGAGTGAGTATTATTGTAATTGAATTTGGCTTGAAACTGTATGATTTGATCCCAGTCTGCTGAAGCTCAGCTCTGAATAGGTCTATGTCACTGGACTTAAGGGGTAGTAAATAACATTAAGGGGGTTTTTCGGCTGTTATGGAAAACTTCAGTATTTTTACATAAATGAATTGAAACTGACTGTAATGTATATCTAGATGTTAAGGTTAATCAGTATTTTCAATTTAAAATTGTACACTTAATGAAACACACCTTTCTTATACACTGTTTAAAGTTGTTCATAAAAAACCCAATGTTCAATGGTGCTTTGAGCAAGAAAAGTATAGTACAACAACCCTACATAAGCCACAAAACAATGATCAGTTTCAAAATACAGTATTCAACTCCTTTTTAAAGATATGGTTAATGGATCCATTGTGGTGATCAAAAATTAAAAATATATTAATTTAGATATGAAAAAAACATAAAAAGTGAAAATGAAATTAAGAATAAAACACCAGCCACAGTGTCATCTACACAAAACTGGAACTGAAGTTGTTTTGACTCTAGGAACAATCATGAGAAACTATTTTGAGTGAAATTAAATAATTTTACCTAAAACAAGTTGTGTGTATTTTATTAAAATAAAATTTCCTTTGGAATTCTTAGGGAGGAAGTGCTTGCCTCTCTTTGTACCTTAATGGCAAAGTAATTCACACTCATTTTCAATCAATGGGCCTTGTTTATATGCTACCTACATGCTGTTTTACTTTTTGGGTTTAATGTTAAAGTGAGCAAATCACATCCTGCCAGCTTTCAGAGAAAAACGTAC